CCCGGGCCCGGTAGTGCGAGTCCCGATTTCGCCTAAAACGTACCTGGATAGGGGGCCAAAAATCTTAGAGAAGATCGCGCCGAGCACGTGCTTCAGAGAGTGGCCCAGGGCTGCCAGGCCCCGAGTGAGCAGGGCCCGGCAGAGGGAGCCCAGGTCCCAGCGTCTCCGGAGGTCGTGCATCCGCCTGCGGCGGCCTCGGGGCAGCAGCGCGAAGAGTGGGGCGCGCGCGGCTCCCGCCTGGGAGGAAGACGCCTTTAGGGGCTCGTCCGGCAGCGGCTGAGGGTTGAATCCGGGAGACACACCCCTAGGAGGGTCTTCGCAGACTGAGGCGGTGACTGATCGGGGCCGGCTCTCTGCCAATTCGGCCTCTACTCTGGAATGCCGGCGGGGACAGGTGGTGCGGGCGGGCGCTCCTCGCTCCGGTTGCTGTGGCCGCCAGAGCGCCCTGGCTGCACTCGCAGGCAGTGCCATTCCCCCCTTCAGGCAACTCAGGGTACTAAGGATCAGGAACGAGCTTGAATTTATGTAATACTGCCTCACTCCTGAAAGCTTGAGCCACTTCACAAGCGGAGGACCTGGGTTTTCTGTTGTCTTGGGTAAGGGCCGTCGTTACACTGAGCGCATCACTCCACTTTGGCTCATAATTTCAACGTCCCCTAAAATAGCAAACGCACAAATTGGACCTTTTCCCTCTCTGCCAATTTCCATTCTCCAACGGAAGCGGGAGCATTTTCTGAACAGGTAAGCCAACATGAAGGAGAAGCATGACCAAAAACATGACAGAATGGAAATGTTAGATTTTTCAGAGCACTGACAAACCACTCTCTTCTTGCTGGGTCCCTGGCATCAAGCCCCGTGCCTACTGGAAGGCTTCACTTATATAAGGTTTATTGAAGGAAAGATACATGACTAAATACTACATCAGAGTGGGGAGCATCTAGTCCTATATGATGTGACAAATGAGGAAACTGAAACCTGGAGAGGGGAGGAAATGTGCCCAAGGTCATATGACAGAGCCCCAGGATTTGAAACAAAGAAACCAGGAACCATCAACACATCCCTCTAATAAATAGATGCATCCTCAAGCCCCGCTGTCCTAAAACGCTCTTTTCACCCTCAGGAAAAACAATGTGAGGATTAGCAAGGAAAGAAGCGGATGCCCCCTGGACAAGATCCTCAGGAACTCAGGACTCAGACTATCCCCATGTGATTGATCAGGTGGAGCTTGCTGTATATAGGGGACTGGTGTTTCCCTGAATGAATGCTCACCCTGTTCAGTCTCACTGCTGCAGAAGTGGCACAGGGTGGCAGCAGTGTTTCAAAAGAGTGTTGTTGGGGCTGGGGAGTGGGGGACAGTCATCAGAGTCCTGAAGTGGAAGGAAGTCCCTTCAGAGACAGGCTCTGCCTGTATCTCCCTAGGAACATTTGGCCCCTCGCTCAGCTCTGCTCCATCCCTCCTGTTCTTTCTGTGCAATGGAGCAGCAAGCACTGGTCTAGGAGTCCTGAAAAGCTGACACTTCCTGGCTGGGCAGCCCTGGGATAATCATTTGCCCCACCTGAGCCTTAGTTTCCTCTTCTGTAAAATAGAATCAACTCCTTTTTGACCATGTGAGGCACTGTGATGATTACCTTTGGGAAATTCCAGATGTGAGGCTGTGTTAACCTGATGCTCTAAGCTCCAATGTGCCAACAGGGTCACAGGCCAATTAAGGAAGAGGCCTTTCTTGGGCAATTTTATAGCTGTGCCCCCTGCCCTTAGCTCCCCTCAGACTTCCCCAGTCTTTTCATTTGCCCCCAAACCTGCTGGGAACAGTGAAGACCCCTTTGTCTGCCTGTAGCCATAAAGCTTGGGAATCTTGCATTTCAGGCATTCCACCTATCCCCGGGTTCCAGATGGTCACTCTGACTGATGGAAGTGTACTAAGGACCGGTGCATCAACTTGGCTTCCGTGAGAGTTCCCCCTCCCATCCCCCAGGCTTATGGGACATGCCTACTCTCCCTGAGGGCCGGTGATGGTGAGAACCTGGGAAGTGAGAAGCCATGGGGGTAGCTCAGGAGTTCGGCTTGCCAGCTGTCCCCACCTTCTCTTTGGCACTGCAAAAGTCCATCTAGTAAGTGGCTCTCATCATAGTGTCATATGAGGATCCTTCTGCCATTACACCATTATAATGACACTCAGTGGGGCCCCTAGGAAAACACTTCTGAAATAGGTGGGTAATGCATTCATGCCCTCAGCAACTAACTCTGGAGATGCTACTCTAAGAGAGATTTGTGAGATTAAAACATGGGAAATGCCTTGGATGGAGGTAAGGGTGAGCGGGTGGTAGCCAGAATGAGGAATAATCAGGATTTACTAATTTAGGTGGTGAAAAGAAGCACATACACACACACACTTACAGTCTGATCTCAAAGAAAAGGGCAGCCAGGTAGGTAGTTGCAGAGCAAAAGAAGGAACAGGATCAGACTGTAAAGTCCAGTTTCTGAGATCTAATATTTCACTAACATGCTAGTGTGATTATATACAGCAGCTCATGGAGGATATTTGCACTTACAAGCCTTTCTCTGTGCACTAAGAAAAACGCAGAAACACATCTCTCATTGTAGATTTTATATGTCAGGGTTCCTAAAAGTGGAAGAAAATTGTCTTTGGGGGCAACAGGGGTCCCACAAATCTCAGGGGAACCCTCCTGGGATGAAGAGGCTTCCTGCTCAGAAGAGAGAATTCTTCCTGTGTGTGTCCTAAGAGCTGTGCTCTCCTTAGGCCAGGTTGGGCCTTGGCAGGAAGTTCCAAGGCTCCTTACAATCCTGGGCTGGTTCCTCTCAGGAACTGAATAATACAGGTCTTGATACTCAGAAATCAGCCCTATTTTGGAAATTGGGGTGGGGTGCAAAAGAGGAAGAAAACTGCCTGAATTGTCAGGACTTTGCTTTTCCATCTCCTTATTTCTTAGACCCACCTGAGTTGCTGTGTGTGTATAGGGTGTCCCAAAAAATGTACACACACACTTTGAATAATTATAAAGGCAGTGTTTATTCAAATACATTTCATTTTAAAAATTGAGCTATCAGCTATTAAAGTGTGTATACATTTTGGGGGGGACACCCTATATATATGGAATTCGGAACTTGGAAGGTGAGGAGAACTCTGCAGCCAGCAGGGTTTCTGGTTGTGTCCACAAAAGGTTGATGACTCTGGGAGTGAGGGTAAAGGTCAGCTTGGCTTGCCTACTTAAGCAGTGTACTTCTGGACATTTATTTGGTTGCTGTAATCTGAAAGGACAGCAGGAGGTATTTGAAAGAGCATGGGCCTGGGAATCCAGAGACTTGGGTTCTTGTTTCAACTCTGCCACTAATGAGACCCTGTATGACTATGAAGAAGCCATTTGCTTGCTCTTGGGCTCAGCTTCCCTATTTGTAAGAAGGCAAAATTGATACTGTTATTCGAAGGGTACTTTCCTGCTCTGACATTCAAGGTCACATGCACTCTATTGTCTTACTCAAGGGTCAAAGGGCTGCAAACTCTCAGAGTCTCATCTTAGGGGAAAGCATAGGCCTAGTCTTCATTTGTTTCTGTGACATTTTGTTGGGTCTCACCAGGCAATCAGCAGCTGAACTTATTCTGGACCTTCGTAACAGGGCTGTCATCAGGGTCCCCTGTTCAGATTGGAACAGAAACAATGAAAACTTAATGTGCTGGCACTCTTTAGAGTTTAGCATAAAACACTAACAAAATAGGCTTTCCCCCTTATCCTGAGCATTATACTCAACCTTGTCTTTCCAGGTGTCACTAATTTTTTTAAAATGTTTATACTCTCAATAATAGGCTATTTTTGTCACAAAAATTGAAGGTATGCAAAGTATTGAGTAAATCTGTTTGGGTTTTTTTGTTGTTGATTTCAGAGAAATGAAGGGAGAGGGAGAGATAGAAACATCAATGATGAGAGAGAGTCATTGATCAGCTGCCTCCTGCATGTCCCCTACTGGGGATCAAGCCCACAACCTGGGCTTGTGCTCTCACCGGGAATTGAACTGTGATCTCCTGGTTCATGGGTCAACGCTCAAACACTGAGCCACGCTGGCTGGGCTGTTTCTGTTTTTGCGTGTCTCCAAATTGAATGAGCAGCATTACTTAATGAAAACACTGTTTTGAAATTCATGCTTTAACATTGCAAACAGGTTGGGTGTGTTATATATATCACTCTCTACAGTCATTTATATCCCCCCCACAAAACACTGTTTTATTTGTTTAGCTTTATAAAACAAGGGACTTGAGGAATTAAAGGAGGAGGTGATGTGTATGCTAAATGAATGTCTACTGCAAAGGCAAGATAAGACCTTGAATGGGGTTCATGGAAGACTCTGAACATGCAGACCAATGACCACCCTTCTCCTGATGCAGGATGTCAACCATTTCACTGACAGTGGAATTTTTTTTTTT